CGTACCACTGGTTTAACAGAAGCAATAATCGTTTTGGAATTCTCAGTGAAGTTATTAGGAATATTACGACGGATGCTTGCTTTTTTCTTGCGTATTATTGATGGGTTCTGGCGATGATGTGGACGCCTTTCTAGGCGAAATAGGTGTGTAATGCTATGGCTATAAATAGTTGACGTGACGGTGAAATAATTGCACAGACGTAAAGACTACGAAATTCATTAGTTGAAACTCATGGCCGACCTGCACCAATAAAGTCGACCGATTAGGCTCAATAGCACACTGCTAATTATCTAAGACATTTCCGAATGTTGTTGTTGTACTGTAGGCTGCTAATATACAGTTTCCAGTTACTTAAACAGACACCATAGGCCTACAATTTCGTACTTTGCACAGTCGAATTACTTCTTTGGTTTGCCTTTCAAGTGGTTCTACATGCAAGCTCGTTGGTGTACGAACAATATATATTTGCCTCAAGCGCATCCCTCGTATTCTCTGATATTCTTCATTCCATTAAATGTCACGCCTGCGTATCACCGATATCATTTCAGTGTTTGCCATCCACTTCTATATAGTTTTCAGGATTTGTGAACAGGCATCGAATCCTGTTTTCAGCCATTGCGTAAATATATTTTATTTACCTCACAAGTATTTTGTTTGTGAACTATGCACAAATCCACACTTGTTGCTAAAAGTTTCTTGAGATAAATCGTCCAAAAACTGGCTTATCACATCGTCGTTCTATTCAGCTTCCAAGACATGATTACACAATTTCTCAGAATGTGCGTCGGTGGCACAGTGGTTAGGACTCTCGCCGATTATGCACATGGTCCGTGGTTCGATCCCCTGCCGGCGCACACTCGATATCTATGGTCGGCCTGTAAATTTGGGCTACCGATATCCATGCTGAAAATTCCATACCTGTACTGAAAATACGGTGTGGAATAAAGCTGTAATCAAAATAAATAAAATAAATAATAAATAAATCTTCTGATGTATTCAAGTTTGGATGTTGAGTAATATGACGTCACATTTATTCATGCGCACCTTACTTGAGATTACAGTCATAGTCAGACTGGAAAATCAGAACTCATTGATGCAACAGAATGTTGGAAAGTGATATAATGAGATTAAAGCTCATTCGATCAGTGTAAAGACAAATTATTTAATTCAACAACTTGAGGGGTTTCTTTAAGTAGTAGGACTTAATGAGATCTCGGTGGGCTCAGACCTTCACAGGATCATATTTCGCGTAATGAAAATATATTTTTCTTCAGTCTGCATCATGCCGTTCCTTCTACAATCTAAGCAGCCATGTCAGCTTCAGACACTGTTCCGAAATTTCACCTCCACATTACTTATTCCGGTCTCATCATAAGTAGTGAAGTTGAACTGCTTGCTTCAAGCAGTCCTGTACGTCGACGTGGTCGTCAGTTCTCCGACTGAAGAACATTTCAGATTGCTGCAGAGATGACACTTCTATGACACTTCAGTAGCGACATTGTTTTCGTTTACACAGCAGAGTTGTTAGCCACATGGCCAATTTGCTCTGTTTTGCCTACAAAACTAGCTTTCGACGATCCCAAACATAATGCTTCGAATTTTCCTCAAAAAGCGGGCTGCAATGGTGGAAAATTAGTAGTAAATTTGAATTGCTTTGAGTTTTAGTTTACTGCATGCAACATTAATCATGACTTGATATCAGTTATAGAGAACCAAAACCCGAGATTTACTGAACATTTGTTTCAATCCCTGTTTGGACTCACTGCTTATCCCTCAACCACACGTATTTCAAATCAAGGACCTTCTGATGACGAGTTGAGACTGAGAGCTCTCAGCGATCAGGATGGAATCTAGCATATTATAAGATCTAGCACTTTTCACTTCTAGATTTTAGCAACATTACAAGCTTATATTACGCTTATATGACTTTTCACAGACACGTATAACTACAATTCCAGGTAGCATCGTTCAGTAGTCAGTCACCAGTATGCACCAGAGGTTTGAGAATATTCCAAACAATCTTGACTCGATACTTCCAGTGGTCAATTCTGAGTAGTTGTAAACAATAACGAAAGATATTCGTGGTTTGCGATGGTTCTCTAAGTAAAATCAGATCATGATCAAAATGGAAATTATTTTTATCCCATTTCAAAATATATTGGATTCTTGTATAGACTGAATAATCTTTCAGGTTCTTTCATTTTATATTTTCGTAAGCGAAGGCAGATTTACAGTTATTCTGCTGTCGATTTATTTCTAGCTGCTGTAGGCAAGCTTATGGAATGTAGAGCAAATTTGTTGGAATTTAATGTGAGACCACATAATATAGATCATGCTAAGCATTTCCCTGAACTTTGAAATAGCATTCGTCAGGAAGGTTTGGAACATCAGGAATGATCTAGTTACGATCTTGTTACAAGCACACTGATTGATTTCACCACAGTTTACTTCAGTGACACTGATTAACTTAAGATTACTTATTTTGATTTTTAAGTCCGAATAGTTTGTTGAAATTCTCATTTTGCTTGTCATATTGGCTTATTTTAAATAAACCAAAATAATCGGTGCGTGGTGAAATGATGTCTTCTGGTAGGGACACTGCGATGATATCTATTGATTAATGAAAACAAAACACGTAGTTAAGCGAAGAGTCTATTTTCGGTGAATTCATTTTCTTAGCTGTACAATCGCAAATAAACTTTAGTTATTTTGTATGTGTGTGTACATTAAGTCTGTCAAACAAATTACGAGTGGTTATGGTTATTTTAACTAAATACGTGAAAATAAGTAGGTTTTGGGTTGAGTTAGATAATTCAAAAACGGTAAAAAAAACTGGATTTTTATGAAACTAGAATAGTAACAAGGGTGATGAATTGTCACAAACAGATGTTGAAAAGGAGTTGAGTAAAATTAAGAATAGATTGATCATTGAGTTGTACTCAGAATACACAAAGAAACAATGCACAGAAAACGATATCACGTCAGGGTTCTAAATGGATACAAAAATTACAAACGATGAAACAAACAGACAAACAAACAAAATTGAGTCATCAACAATCAACAAAGTTGTTACCGTGATGATAGAAGTTGTTGAGTAATTCTCTTTCGCATGTACAACTCCGGCTTCTCGAAGAGCATGGCTAAGGATTCCGCGATACAAAGAAGAATAAGGTGTATTGCCTTTGTTGTGTTATTTTTGACTCTGTAGATAACTTTGAAAGAGGCTGTTTTTAAGATGGAAGAATTAGTGTTAACCAGATGTTGAATTATAGCACTCCACTATTGCTTTTCCGCAACAAAGCTGGGTAGTGTTTTTGAATCCGTACGCACAAGATGCGCGTCGAACGACCGATTTACGTGGCTCCACAGCAGCATGTGCATATAGAATTGGTCAGATGCGGGATCTTGTCTTTGAGTCTTCCGTAGGTCAGTGTGCGGCTGGAAAACACTGTTCTTATCGTGTATGCAAAGAATATTCTAAGAGATGATGTGATTCTCCATTATGGATACGCTTTTATTCTGATAAATCACACAGTGTTATACAGTAGTATTATGTGATTACGTTTCGAGCACATATATTGCTCATGATCATATCAAGTTACTCACACAACCTTTAACTTCATTTATATACATGAGTAGAATTCATTTGAATAAAATTTATATAGGATAATGTACATTCAGAAATAATTATAGGAGTGTTATTGAATTATTACAAGCAGATGTTTTACCAGTAAAAATAAGTAACATTTTAGAATGTTATGATGTATTGGAACTGTAATAGAACTTAAAGATTATTCATAATCCCCCTGTGATTTCAGTGATGGTAACAATATCTTCCATATCTTTGGTATTTGCATTGAGTCATTCCTATAGCACGTGTTAGGTGTAGACTCGATGAACAAGGATTCAGTAATCAATCTCTCTGTCCACCGATTTTAAATTTTAACCTTGCATACCCTATTGTGTGGTTTCGCTTCACGAGAAACCCATCAATAAGAAGAAGTTAGGATTTGTGGTCCACTGGATCGAGTCCGAGTGGCTGAATTGTCTACGAGCTTGTCTTTTAACGGGAAGCCGTGGATTATGACCATGGTTGGTGCATACTATTGAAAAGTCATAAACTGGAACCAAAAAGCCATCTATTACTCCCCAGTTTTCTGTGATTCTCTGACATCCATCTGTGATCAAACCTTACTTGAGTAGAATTCTCCAACTGACGTCACTGATCACATAATTTGTAGATGGTTTCACTTTTAAATTATAAGAATGCGAATAGTCTAAGAGCAAATGGACGTAAGAATTGTATCAAATAATTTATTGAGGTGCAGGCGTGAGATGCAATTATAATCCGTAGTGTATTTTCTTACCTTAATGTGCCTTAAATGTATAGTCATTCAGAAAACAAGATAAAGTGTAAATAGAGAAATCGGTGAATTCCTTATGAATTAAAAGTTAAAAGAATATAAGTTCCATTTAGGGGTAGTGAGAAAATGACCAATCTACACGCATTTGAAATTGTCCTTCATGGTTCAAACAAATTTCCATGAAAAACGCTGACGAATTCTGTGAACATTGGCAGTGTATGTGATTCATACGGCATAACATTCTGATATACACTCGTATAATAAAGTGCCCGATTTTTAGACACATGGTAAATTGTAGTCGAACTGTTCTCAGTAAATAACACGATATCTCTATATGCTATTACGTCTACCAGTTGAGATATAGCGGCATGGTACCTTGTGTCGGTGCTTATCAACTAATCAAACGTGGTGAGAGTCAAATCCGTGGCTCACGCACGTCTGAGCATGACCTAGCCAGTAGTAAGTCCGGAAGAGGCTGTACACTTTACAGCTGATAATCAACACTGCTAATGGGATTTAGAAGCTCAGTGTTGGAAATCAATATTTCACTCGGAAGTCAAAAGAAATGCAGACGATGTTTCAATCATTATGTTGACATTTAAAGATTCACTCTGATGTTTTATATTCATATTTCAGAGGAATCATTGTCCTACTCATCATATTATGCTTCATATTCAGGAAGAAATTCATAGTAGCAATGTCCTTGATGGCATTCATTGTAAGTTTCTTAGGATCATGAAAATCCTAAGTTGACTTTGTTTGCTCATAATCATTCATTGTCGACTGAGCAATACATTTGAAAGTCAAAAGTTTGTTTTTCATGAAATAAGGAAGCGAATATGGATAAGTTAATATGTTTAAGTGACCCAAATAAAAGGAGTTACTTCATGCTTTCCTGATTCGTCAGAGTGAGGAAACTTATCCAGATCTGGTTATTCAAAACGAAAATATATTAAAGTGAAGGTAATTCTGAAAATTTTATTTGGCCCTCCTAAGAGACTACCTAAAACAGAGGGTACCTCATCAACGTGACTCTCGCGCATTATAAATTTCAAACCTTCTGCTACTTCAATGCGCAGTTTAAAACCATTTTTCACCTGTGAATGTTTGCCTAACTCCTCTGATCTTCACTTAAGTTCAGCGATACAATTTCAATGTTCAGTTCATTCTCATAATTATTTATCACTTCGAAAACCTACATACTAGCCTTGGCTTATATTAATTTCAGCTGATTCATAGTTTTCCTTTCTTCAAAAATCGAGGTAAATGTTTTATGTCGTGAGGAGAAATTTTTGTAGGCAAAGTTCTCATGAAATTAGGCTGGCATAGTTTAGAATTCTATTCTCGGTGCTTCTACATCTGACTTTTAAAGTAATAATAGCTGCAACCATTAGCTCCAGTGTAAAATCAATTGTTGTAGAAGCAGGAGGTGCCATAGAGATCATAAAGGTTTCAATTTTCAATGATGAAATGTGATAACAAGCACAAAATTCAGATTCAGGTTTACCCGACAGTCAGCTAAAAACAGCAGATAATAAATGCAACTAAAATGTACCGTTCTTTAGTTCTCTTTTCACTAAGCATGTTTCTCGCGTATCCAATGCCATTGTAAACCACTGATGTAATTTTCCTTAGAATTTTTATTACTCATATATTTTACAGACATAATATAATTTTTCCTCTTCATATACTCCTGTTAAATTTGATTTGTGGGTAGATTGCAGTGTGGACAGCGAATATCTGTTTAACGTTTTGCGCAGGATGGGACATAGCCTGTTTCTTACTAATTGGCTTCTGCGTTTTCGAAGATTTAGTTACATTTGGGTTATGTCTTTTAAAAAGAAGATTCAAGAGTGCAGTGTTAATCACAATGCTTGTTGTAGCGTTCATTTGTTTTACAGTTGGCTTAGCATTGTACTTTGTGAAAATGGTAAGTGAACTAGACACATCTCATTGTCATTTTCCAATAATTTTAACCACAAACACGCTGTCCTACTTCATATTCTGAAAATTATCAGTAACAGTATTAGCAGCAATACTCAAAGTTTTTGTTTAAGTTACCTCGGGAGGTGCAGTTTTTCAAAACAATACATACATACGATAGAATTGTTTGACATTAAGTTCGTGGAGCATATCCTTCAGTGAGTAACTTGGGAATCAATACGAATACCGGAAGATTTATTCAAAGTGATATTTAACCAATTCTCACTATAACTCTGTTGCATCTTCTGTTAACTCTTCCTAACTCTCGAGTTTGACATATTCGAAATATTCCAGTGGATATCAGTCCAAAATGCATAAAAGCCTTCGATGATGTTACTGATACCATGATAGGCATATGCTTATTGTATTCGTAGGTCTCCTCTGGTTGACCAGATCCATTCAGTCTACTCCATTAGACTCACTTCTTTTGCCCTGTGAGCTGCTTGCTAACTTCAAGCATAACGTGGAAATTCCATGTTTCCAAACTCATTTTTACTCACATCGAAAGGAGACACATCGCTTGACTGACTTCCTTAAGGCATTTATCAGTCGTCATTATTTCGTGTATCCGATTCAAGTGTAGAATTAGCCTATATTTTAGTACTTTTCCCCACTCTTAAGTGTCTGTAGAGATGTAACCAATTTTCTGTGGAGTCGCAATGAACTCCACGTTCATCCCTCTCTCGTTTTCCATGCTAGTACATTAAACAATAAACTGTAGGAGGTTGACACTTGGACCCAAGGTGGTATGAAAAACCAGCCTTCTGGTCTGTGGTCACACGAGCCACCATTTTATAACACTGCTTAAACTGGTTAATCCTCTGTTCACTAAAGAAATACTTTTCGAATTCTTCCTCTGGCAGTGATTCATCCTGAGACGAATAGTTAAGTCAATTTAATTGGTTTAAAATGTACATACAGACTTTTGAAATTCAAATTTTTTAACTTTAATGATTCTTGCAAACCTATTTCAGGATATTTCCGGTGGTCTCTGGAACACGGGCATATGTTTGGTAAGTTCTAAATGATTTATCTTTTATACATTTTCCTTATTAAATAAACGCAGAATACGTCTTAATATCCTTCTTCGATAAATCATGGCCATACAAATCCCTGGCCAAATCATCAAAGAATTACAAATCTTATTTCACGTTTTTCACATCTAAGAAATGTCAAATAATTGGAGCTCTAAATATCACCGCTCTCATATTGTTTCGTTTCTTTAGTTAGCGTTGATTTTCGCGGACGGCCTCAAATGAATTTTCTATCAGATGGGTATGCTACAACCTAACATTAAATTCCTACTATAATGTCTGTATTGTGATGATCAAGGTGTTCAAATTTGCTTAATATCAGTTGATTGTATGACTATTCACATTTCACATTTTTTAAATATTAAACAACATTTCTGAAGGAAGTCTTTCACTTTAATTTGCATGTCACAAGTTATGTAGAAGAAAGCATAGTTTGTGGATTTTTAGTTGAATGATTAAGGACGTATAATAGACATTACATTTTTCTCAAGCATAATGATTACGATTTGCATCATACATGTGAAGGTTTTTCAAATAAAAATAGTTTTGCTCAAAAGTAACAAATACTACTTTCCAGTTATACCTTCTACAATTTAAGATTTAGTGGAATAGGTGAGGCTGTGTCTGTTAATTAGAGTCGCCGAATGAATCTGTATTGCTTAGGCTTTCAATGTAGCATTAAAATAATTCCCCAAAAAATTTTAAGCCTGCCAATTTTAGTATTTTTCATTGAGTGCTGGTCTACATGGGGCTATAGAAGTGTTTGTGATTGGAACCCGCTTCAAATGAGAACTGAAGAAAACTTTAGATCGAAACTTTTGAAGGAAAATGGTTGAATCAAATCTACATTGGAATTGTCGATAGAAATAACCTGACTAGTCAAGCTGAAAAGGATATCGAGAATCCAGTAAAATAAATTTCTCTGAGAAAAAATTTTAGTTTTCAGCTCAATTAGCTAAAGCTTAGAAATTGTCGTCTCCCTAAGGTTCCCTACTATACTTTACAAGTTTACACTCAGACAAGACGTTCTCATTGAGTGAAGGTTGACTTATTTGCTTTTCGATTGCTGTTATAGCATAATAACAAGACATTCATAAGATTAGTCGAATAGAGAAGTGTGAGATAGTAATCGAGTGATTAGGTGTACAATAATCATTGTAAATTGTTAAAAATTGATTTCTCTGTCAACTAAAGAAATTTGTTCAGGATAACTTGACATCATATAATTCGGTCAGATTGAAGGCACTTCAAAATTTTGCAAGGTTTATTCGTTATACTCAGCCCATTTATACAATTCAGAAGTGCAGCAAGGCTGGTCCTTTACATCTTGATGTAGGAATTCAATAACCACATTACATCAAACCCTACCCTGAGCAAAGGATCAGTTCAATCACGATATAAGCGTTTCATGGAAATGTTTTGATTCTCTGCATTACAACTTTCTGTATTATAAGTGAATTCTGTTCGGTGATTTGTATTGGGAGTTAATTCAATAATGAATAAATATATAATCATGAGCAGAGAACTTACGCAATAACAAACGTCACATAGAATTGATGCCTAAAGAAACTGGAAATTATTTGCCTGCAAATCAACGTAATATTAAGTATTCACAATGATAATTCGATCCTACAACTTGGTAAACAAGACGAGTACAGCCATAGTCATCACTATCATAAACACGGCATCTATCAAAATCTAGAAATACGAAATAATCTCTTAAGCAAATCATAGAAGATATGCTTACCCAGATATAATATCTGAAAGGGATGTCTCGTCGTAGTAGCTTATTCATAGACGCTGGGAACAGCGTTAAATATTCTTCGGAAATTGACATTATTTTACTCTCTGAAATTAGATCAGAAATCTTATACGAACCTAGTTGTGGATTTTCACAAATACAAAAGCTATAGTATTTTGAATATTAATACTTAATAATTGTAATAGACACTAGATTCACAATTCTTTATCAGTTTCAACAGGAAGATATCTGTTTTTCTTATGGAGGGATATACCTCAATCAAGCAAGTGACACGAATAAAACTTTATATCCGCTTTGAATACACTCAAGTCATGACTGAGGTGCCAAACTCCCTTCCATCGCTTGAATGGGACCTGAATATGAACCAGTGAGTTGGACATGAATTCGAGGTTGACATTGAAGGCGATGTTGTGATGCAGAAGAGATAAGAGGTTATGGGAGAAAGTAGAGCCAGCTTAAGAGAACTACAGAAAATGGAATGAAATCGAGATATGTTGATATAAGTATAAAACGTGGGTTGGGTGTTAGAGTATAGCTCGAATATGAATAAGATTTCATTTGGATGAACCACACAGTGTTGTACAGTTATATTTACAAAACTGTGTGATTTATAAAAATAAAATTTTATCCATAATGCAGATATGCCGCTGAATCCCACTGTTCCACGTGGAAGCAGAAGTTATAATAATGATAATTAAGTTTCTGCGGAAATGGATGATTTATTCATTATGAGAAGCATCAGCCAGTGAGGAGTTCAGAGAAAACGATAAAACTCAAGTTTCGAAGTCGTGTGATTATAATTGATATGATTATGAACAATAAGTTTTGTTCGAAAAATTGTCATCCAGTAAATAATGCTGTTTCACTGTGTGATACATCTAATAAACAAACTTATATGAAAAATAAAATTTTACCCATAATGGAGGATCACATCATCTC